GAAAAATGGTATTGACTAGAAAATGTAATTGATTAAAAATGGCATTGACTAGAAAATGGCATTGATTAGAAAAATGGCATTGACTAGAAAATATAACTGATTAAAAATGTTATTAACTAGAAACAAAAATGTCTTTGACAGCTGCTTTCCAGGCCTATTGGTGGTCCTCAACTTATGACCACAACACAACCCAAAATTATCATTATTATTATTATCATTATTATCAAAATTATCATTATTATTCCCAAGTGCCCCATTTGACAAACTTTCTTGCCCCAGTTGTTAAAGGGAATCACTGCAGAATCACGTAGTAATACGGTCATTAAGTGAATCTGGCTTCCCCGTTGTCTTTGTTGGGTCAGAAGGTCAATAAAGGGGATTACACGACCACCACCACCCCGCCCGGGACTCTGCGACTGTCATAAATACGAGTCAGTTGGCAGTCACCCGAATTTTGATCCCGTGAACCGTGGGGATGTTGCAACGGTCGTAAGCGGAGAAAGTCAAAAAGGCCAATGTAACGCATACAAAAAGAACTTCCATCCCCCAGGGACTGGTTCAATTATGTTTTTTTTTTAACCAACTCACCTGCTGTTTAGAATAAGCGTTGTAAGGAACCTCGGAGGTCTTCTAGCCCAACCCTTGCTCAAACAAGAAACCCTATATATTTCTGACAATTGTGTCCAATCTTGTCTTCAAAACCTCCAGTGTGTCAACTCATAAAACATTCCTAGGCTTGTTTTAGTAGTTGCCATTAAAAAGGGGGGAGTAAGAAAGGAAATCGGGAAGAGCAGGGCAGCAGTTGGAAAGCGGAAGCACATTCCAACCCTTTATCTTTAAAAGAGTATAATTAAAATACCAGAGCTTTTGCCCGGGAATATATTGAATTGGAGAACGTGATGGATGACACTCAGTCCGTAATTGGAGAACGTGAGTAATGACACCCAGCCCGTAAACTGGCTCAATTGGAGAGTCTGGTTTATGAGACACCCAGCAGGGGGGAGGGGGGGAACAGGGTCACAGGGGACTGTAAATTACGTATGCCAGAGTTGGCTTCATATGCTGTAGGTTAATGCCGGCGTGTTCGCTCCTAATAAATCTTTTGAAGTTTTTTAAAGTTTGGCTCGAGAATCATGACTTAATTAGGGCAATTGCTGGAATCCTGACACCCTGTCTTCTTCTTTCTCCTGCAGGCTGGGATCCATGTTCTGGAAGGGCCCTGGGGCCTGTCACTCCCCGAGATGCCCCCTGTGGCTTTGGACCCAGGACCCTCCGGAAAAGGCACTTGGACTGTGTCCGACCTCTTGCGCTTCTCCCCGCCACCCTGCTCCCCTGGCCCGCCTCCTCGCCGTCCTGCCTGGCATCGTTACCGCCTTTCCGAGAGCATGAAAGGGCTGCTGGTGGCCCTCTTGGGGGGCGGCGTGCCGGCCGGCTTTGTGGCCCCCTTCACCCGCATTGTCAATGAAGCGTCGGGGATGCCGTCCCTGGAGATCCTGTACTTCCGTTGCTGTCTCCACCTGCTATTCACCGGCTACCTGCGCTACAGGAAGGTGCCATGTTTCGGGCCGCCAGAGGTGCGTTGGCGCACCCTGCTCCATGCCTCGGTTAACGTCATCTCCATTGGCTGTGCCTACAGCTCCTTCATGATGGTGCCCAGTGGCAACGCCGCCACTGTGCGCAAGGGTTCCTCCACCATCTCCTCCGTCCTGCTGGCCTTCTGTATCGAGAACAGTCAGCTGACCGGCTACGACTGGTTCGGGCTGGTGGGCAGTACGCTGGGCTTGATCATCATGGTGGTGCCGGACCTGTTGAGTTTGGACAAGAGCACCCAGATCTACAACACCTTCGGCTACGTCTTGGCCTGCTCAGGAGGCATGGCGTTGGCCTTGGGGCTGATCATTTTCCGGAGGCTGGACTTCCCAGCGAAGCTGATGACCGTGGCGTTCCTCTTCGGTGTGGTGGGCAGCCTGGTTTGCTCCCCGCTGATGTTCCTCTTCCAGGAGCCGGTGCTGGTGCTGGATTTGTACACTTGGATTTACGTGGTGTCCATCAGCATCCTGGCTTTGTTCTCCTTCTTGTGCGCCAGCTACGCCGTGACGAAGGCACACCCGGCGCTGGTGTGCGCCGTCTTGCACTCCGAAGTGGTCGTCACCCTGGCCGTCCAGTACTACGTGCTACGGGAGGCCGTCACGCCCTTCGACATCATGGGGGCCGGCGTCATCTTGGGCAGCATCGCTATCATCACTGCCCAGAACATCAGCTGCCACCCAGCCGACGAAGAGGAGGGACCGATCGTGCCGCAGCAGGAGGGCAAGCACACCAAGGAGGCCCCGGGTCGAAGCAGGCACCAACCGCCGTATTCCACGGCACAGAGGGATCGCGTGGATTAAAGGAGGCGGTGGGTGAAAGCGGTGGGCGCCAACCAGCAGATTGAACAGCAGGGAGAGTGCGAGTAGATCAGCGAGCCAGTTGGTCAAAGTAGGCACCAACTGTTACAGCAGAAGGATCCAGTAGACCCAGCAGGCAGTTGGTCCAAGCGGGCACCAACTGGCAGATTGGACATCAGAGAGGGTTCCAGTAGATTAAAGAGGCAGTTGGTCAAAGTGGGCACCAACCGGTAGATTGTACAGCAGAGAGGGATCGAGTAGATTGTCCAGGCTGTGTGTCAAAGTGCGCACTGGCAGTTTGTACATCAGAGAGGGATCCAGTAGATTAAAGAGGCGGTCGATAAAAGTAGACACCCATCAGCAGATTGGACAGCATGGAGGGATCTAGTAGATTAAAGGGGCAGTTGGCCAAAGCGGGCACCAACCAGCGGGTTGTACATCAGAGGGATCCAGTAGAAGTGGGCAACAACCAGCAGATTGGACAGCAGAGAGGGATCCAGTCAATTAAGGAGGCAGTGGGTTCAAGCGGGCCCCCCACCAAGATGGGGAGGCCAGGAAGAAGAGCGGCAGAGGCCCTGGGGCAGCCAGGAGGTCCCATCCGACAGAACAGCGGGCAACAGTAGCCAAATTTTTCAAACCAAAATCTTGGTGGCAGTTGGTGGAAGAACAGAGGTGGCTAACCAGCCAACGGATCCATGCAAGATGAGGACATTGTTGGTTTCCTGAAAATCTCAGCTGCGCCACAAAGCCGCCATCTGCCGAGGTGTCCCTGGCAAGCAGCACTGCCCAAGGCAAGGCTGCCGGACATCCGGACGGCATGGTTACTCCGAGACCCGCTGACCTGTGGAGTGGAAGAGAGCATCGGTGTTTTCGGTCTGTGCTGAGAAGCCAGGAACGAGACAGTCCCCACACAAATTAGCATTTGTGGTCTGTTTGGGGTATATTGAGGAAGAGGACATGGGGGTCTGGGGGGGGGGTCCCCTTGGTCTCCATCTGATGCGTTGATTTCCAAAAAACGATTTTGATGGAGAAGTTTGGGCCTCAGATCCGGTCTGCGGGGTGTTTTTTTTTTTCCCATGCTGGCCCCTTTAAGATGGGCAGACTTCAACTCCCAGAATTCCACACTGGCTGGGGATTTCTGGGAGTTGAAGTCCACTCATCTTAAAGGGGCCAGGATTTGAGAAACGCTGCTCCACAATGGGATGCAGGAAGGAACACAAATCCTGATTGTTGAGCTTCCCCTCAACCTGCCCTCCCCCCCAAATCCAAAGTAAATCAAATTTGAGAAACTGGAGAATTTATGATTGTTTCTGTACACACAGCTAAAAAGACAGCTTGTACTGGTTAATCTATTATTATTATTATTATATTCATTAAACATGAAACTCAGGCAACTAACCATTTAAAAACATATCACAAATCTCATTGACTCGCGCTGATGGTTGATACAGGTTGCTGTCAGCATCCTAGGTATCAACCATTATTATTATTATTATTATTATTATTATTATTATTATTATTATTATTATTATTATTATTATTATTATTATTATTATTATTAAACATGAAACTCCATTTTATTTTTTATGTTTTGTTTTTATTAATTTTTATTATTTTATTACTATTTATTATTTTATTTATTAATAGTAAATTAATAATTAATAATTATTGTTATTATTATCTCTTTTATTCATTAAACATGGAACAGTCAACTGAACATTTAAAAATGTATCACACATATCATTGACTGGCGCTGATGGTTGATAGGGTTTGCTGCCAGCATCCCAGGTATCAACCAAGTATTTTCTTTATTATTGTTATTGTTATTATTTATTATTATTATACGCAAAGATAGAAGGAGCGCCTCAATCTATAGGACTCGGAAGCCGAGCCTGATATTTGGCTTGTGAAAACTTCCAAATAAATCCCAGTTTGGGAGATTATAACAATTCAGAAGGTTAAAAAGGAGAGAAAACGAAGGGACGAAAAACAGATATATGTATGCAGAAGAGAGGAAGTGATTGGAGGATTTGAAGCAGGGGTGAATCTAGAAGCCCTCCTTAAGGAGAGGATTAAAAAATGGGGCACCGCTGGCAAGCCAACTTGAGACTGTACAAACAGAACCGGGTTAATATTCAGGAATCTGTACAATAAACCAGGATAGCATCCAGGTGGCTGTGGAACAAACTGGAAAATGCAAATTGTTTGGGCCCAGAACAATTCTCGATCTAGGTTAGCATTATTCAAACTTAGCTAAGCTTTGTGGACTTCAATTCCCAGAATTCCCCAGCCAGCGATGAATTCCCCAGCCAGCGATGCTGGCTGGGGAATTCTGGAAGTTGAAGTCCAAACTGCTTCAATGCCCTAAGCTTGAAAAACTTCTAGATCTAGAAAGGTCCAGAGTCTACAATTCTGGAGAGTCTACTATTCTGAATTAAAATGCCACTGACTCCTATTTAACGACGGTCGCCGTGTCCGGGGGTGTGTGTGTCACATGATCCCCTTTTGCGACCAGCCACGAAGCCGGATTTGCTTAACAACCATGTTGCCAAACAACGGCAGCGACGGACTTAAGAACGGCGGGCAAGAAAGGGGGCCAAACGGGGAGAAAATTCACTCGAGGGAGGTCTCGCTTAGCAACAGAAACATTGGGCGCGATTGTGGTCCTAAGTCAAGGAGTGCCCCGTTTCTCCTAAATGACCTCTGGTTACCCTTGGGACCATTTCATTCTGGTTCTCTACGGCAATTTAGACGATCCTGGTTAATTTGGCAATGCCAGCCAAAATCTATTCTTCTCCTTCTCCTTCATCTTCCTTCTTCTTTTTCCTTCCTTCCTTCCTTCCTTCCTTCCATCCATCTATATAAAAGCGAAATACCCCTCACGCATCATCACAAAATCTTCAGAATCATAAAGCCTACAAACTTGAAATTGGGCACGTCTGTTCCTCTTGGCTTCTAGGGGCTCCCTAAGAAAGGATTTTTCCAAATGACCATCGGAGCATTTAGAGTATTTCCTATATTATTATTATTATTATTCACACGCTCTGATGCTAAGGAGTTCTATTCCCCCTCCTCACCTGGGAAGAAATCTCTTCCAAAGGCAAAACACAAGCAGAGGAGCTTCAGTTTCAGAGCACCAAGCAGCTTCAGTCCAGAACAGTTGAGCTAAGCCACGCCCAGGCTCCTTGCTGTCTCCTTGTTGCTCACACAGCAAATACTCTTTCAGTTTCCAAACAGCCCTCCACTCTCTCCCACACTGACAGGATGCTAGCCAGATGAATACCGATGGATGCTGGTAGGCAGAGGCAGAATTCCCACCCACCCCTTATTTTCCTCCCCCAAAACTAAGCCCGACCACATAGTTTCGTAGCGAAGCACGGGGATCGAGTTAGTGCTTTAGAAAAAGAAGGAAGAGAGGAGGTTACGGCATGGCGCCCGGCCCACAAATGGACATGAAAATGGAATTTCTCGCAGATTATAAACCAGCCCTTCTCCTTTTAAAGCACAAAGGCAGCATCTTCTCATCGTTTCTCTTTTTTCCCCCCTCAGGTCTGCCAAAGGAACCTGATGCATCAACGGGTTATTTCCCCCCCCCTCCCCCGAATTTCCCAATTCCTGGCAGGTCGGCTCCTTTTCCAAGGCATCCTTCTCTCTGGCCGGCGGCAGCAGCGTCGACCGCAAAGGGCTGGTTATTTTGCTAAATTCCAGAGTTATGACTCAGCGGGCCCCCGGGGCCGGCTGAGATTTGAGAAACAACAAGAGGCAGCCTTCCGTTCCCCCTCCCTCCCCCACTTTCCTCCCCCAAAGTGTTCTCTCGATCAGGGGACTCTCCTTCATGAGGACTAGAAAGTCGGCCAGGTTGGCTGCCCTCGGTTCCCATGCAGGGAAGAAATTTGAGAAATGGATTTGGGGCTGGTTTAGGAAACAGATTTCAACAGGAGAGGGAGAAGGAGAAGGGGGAGGGAGGGGACAAGGAGGGGGAGGGGGGAGAGGGAGGGGCCTGGCATCCAGGACAGCTAATTAACATGCAAATGTAATCAGAGGCACTTCCAGGCTGGAGAGCTCGGACACCGCCAGATGGCATGGATACTTACAGATTTCCAAATTGGAAGGCAGAACTTGGTGGGGAAAGGGAGATGATGGCGTGGGTGGGGTGGAAAAGGTCCTTTGGGGACCCCCTCCAGAAGGGGTCCAAACCCCAAAAACTTTAACCTTAGACTGTCTACTATTGACCTCACCCCTTTCCTAAGAGGTCTGTAGGGGGCGTGCATAAGCGCACCAACGTGCCTACCGTCCCTGTCCTATTGTTTCTCTTATTCTTTTATTTTTCTTATATGTACCCATTTCATGTATTCACAACTATGTATACGCTTATACTTATTATCTTGTAAACAATTGGCAAATCAAATAAATAAATAAATAAGGTGTGGATGCTCCAACACTGGAAGTTTTCAAGAAGAGATTGGAAAACCATTTGTCTGGTGTAGAGTTTGCTGACTGGGCAAGGGGTTGGACTAGAAGACCTCCAAGGTTCCTTCCAACTGTTATTCTATTCTATTCTGTTCCATTCCATATTTTCTATTCCATTCCATTCTATATGCTATATGATTCTGTAAAGATCTGCTTGGGGGTTGGACTAGAAGACCTCCAAGATCCCTTCCAGCTTTTCTGTTCCACTCTACTCTACCTTGATACCCGCTACGAAACTCTGTGGTGGGGCTTAGTTTTTGGGGAGGGAAATAAGAGGGAAAAATTCCGCCTCGGCCTACCAGCATCCATCGGTATTCATCTGGCTAGCGTCCTGTCAGTGGGTGAGATAGTTGAGGGCTGTGTGGAAACTGAAAGAGTATTTGCCATGTGAGCAAGAAGGAGGCAGCAAAAGGAGCCTGGGCGTGGCTTAGCTGAACTGTTCTGTACTGAAGCTGCTTGGTGCTCTGAAACTGAAATTCCTCTGCTTGTGTTTTGCATTTGGAAGAGATTTCTTTCCAGGTGGGGAGGGGGAGTAGAACTCCTTAGCATCAGAGCCTGTTAACAACAACAATAATAATAATAATATAGGAAATACTCTCTAAATGCTCTAAATTAGTGAGCACCTAGAAGCCAAGAGGAACATATGGGCCAAATTTCAAGTTTGTAGGCTTTACGATTGTGGAGATTTTGTGATGATG